TTTTTTTAAGAAAAGAACTATTTTTTTATAAAATTTGATCAAAGGTTTTATGGGTCGAGGAGTCTGAATCTGAAATTCATTTTTCGAAATTTTGAGTTCGATTTTACTACAAAAATTTCTTTAATAGAAAAAATTTTTTGTAAAAAAAAAAATAATAATTGTTTTCATCAAACAATTAGCTTTATCGTAAAAAATTTTTTGTTAAAAAATTATTATATTAACAAAAAAAAACTGATTATCTGACAAAAAATTGTTCGATGAAAAGAAATTATTTTTTTTTTATAAAAAGTTTTTTGTAAATCATCTTATTTCGTAAATCTTTCTGCTAAAAAACCACTTTTTCACAAAAAAAATTTTTCTGCTAGAAAAAGATATTTTTTTACAAAAAAAATTTGTGGTAAAATCGAACTCAAAATTTCTAAAAACCGATTTCAGATTCGGACTCCTCGATCCCTAAAACCTTTGATCAAATTTTATAAAAAATAGTTCTTTTCTTAAAAAAAAACTCTTATTTTGTGAAAAAATCTCTACCTTAACTACTTTATTAAAGTATCCATGATGCTTAACTTGATAATTTGAGAGACTAAATGAAATGTTTTGGTAATAGAAAAAGCAAGAAATTAGCTCGTATGCTGGAGATGCGTCCTTTGATATGTTTTAGTTTCTAGATTTTTATTTTTTAATTTTTGTAAATTTTTTAATTTTTTAACTTTTAAAAAATTTTTGTAATCCCTAATAAAAATATTAATAAAGTGAAAACATCACCTTGTCATCATTTTTAGCAACTGCAAATTTTTTTACCGTAACTACACGCAACTGCATCGCAGTTTGACCGCAATTGAACACATGGGTCGAAACTTGATACGTGAAAAACATGATTCGAGTCGATGCAAGTAGTTTCATTAGCTGAGAGAATTTTATAGGCTTAGTTCGTTTTCGAGATAGAATCAAAAATAATGAAGAAAGCAGATGTTAGTGTCTTTTACCTGTTCATATCTCGTAAGGACAACTTGGAGTTCATATTCCTTGTTTTGTTAAGATATTATCTAGTGTAAATTTATAAGAAAATAAGAAATGGTTTGTTGAACAACAACAAAACGAACAGAAACGTACAGTTAATTCAACAGCCATTGTCGATTGAAAAAAAACGATATTTGACTTTATCATTATTATTCATATTTATATGTATGTTGATAATGAAGCTCTTATTTGTGTCATATAACAATGATAGAAACTAAATAATTCAAGTCCAAGAAAACAACGATAATCCACTATTTTTTCCTCGTTAGTAACATCATGTCAATAAATCGAACAAAAGTCATCACTTAATTTTAAAAAGTTTTACTCTATAATTTTGACTAATTTGAATTTGCATTCCTATGCAATTTATTTCATAATCTGAAATGTAGATTGAGTATGATTTTACAAGTAAATCTTATATAAATGTTGTTTATAAAATTCTATATTTTGAACCATTCTCGATCCATATTGATCTATTTATTTTTGTTTTATGATAAGCAACAATAACTTTCATAATGAAAAAAAGTTTCATTTCAAATTCTATGAAACGTTTAAAAAAGAAACAAATTAAACTCCATTACATTGTTATTCGTTTATATTTTTAATTGAATTCCAAAACTCTACACTTACATGCGCTTGACGTCATTATTCATCGGCACTCATTTGAATCTGTCTATTCTTTATCTGGTTACTACAATTTCATATAGAATCAATTTCTGTAAGTAAGCAATGAATGAATTTATAAGTAATATTGAATAAATTTAGGTTTTTTTTTTCTTAAATTTTCAAGAACAAAAACTTTCTATCCAGTATTATTTCTTCATCGATTGGTTAAAAAACTCGAAATTATATCTTCATTCAAATGTCAAAAATAATAATCGATGTTTTTCATCCTAAATAAACAGTTTATGTTATTATTTTACAGCTTGTAAGAGAAATGAATAAATTCAGCTAATTTCAATGATCTTATAAACCATTCAACTTGATGGTTGTATTCTTTATTAGATGTTATCTGACTACATGAATTAGGCCTTCGAAGTAAAGAGGAATAAGAGCTGATTTACTACTCATGTGATTCAAATCGGACAAAAACAGTCGGTAATTTTATATTTAAATAGATGACTTTCTTTTGACCGTCATTCTGCCGCAGAATACCAATAGTTGTTTGTCAACTGGCAATCTACCGCCATACTCAAGTGGACAACAATTTTTGAAAGCGCGTTTACATGTTTCAAACATGGTTTCCATTTGAGTATTTTCATGTCCATTCAGAAAATACTAATTTCGTCTGCAAAACACATAAAATATTTTCATGTTTTCCAAAATGCATAAATGTATGTGCTTGCAAAAATTGGGTCTACCCATTTCTCTCAAATTTTAAATCGTCCTATTGGAAGAAATAATCTGACTAAAACACTCAAGCATTAGAGTTTACTATCAAACTATACAAAGGCAAAAGTTTCTTTAAGCTTTTTATATAGAATTCAAATATCTCTATTATTACTTTTGATATGCTTCTAAGTGTAATGAAGAAATTAGATTTATCCAATAATGTTTATCAATAGATAAAATTAGACAAGCTGAACTTGAATGATTAAAAATTTCATTAAAAAATACACGAATGCTATGTTTATGATATTCATCAACAAGTTTTTTTTTTCAGATCATTTTCTTTTTCAATAACTTGTTTTTATAGGAAAATGATGTGTTGGAATATAATTTTAAAAAAAGAACTAATAGTTAAATTAAACATATTTTGATTATTATTTTTTCTTTTGTAATACATTGTACAGGCAATAATCAGTTAAATGATTTAATTTAGATAATTAAGTGATCATTTTCAAGTAATTTTATATCATCATATTTCCATTCATATGTATCAATATATGTTTTCTCTATTTCATATAGTTATTAAACCATGACGATGTTTACCATTACATTTTTTTCATATATAAAATTTATATTTATATTCACCATCATTTATTTCTATAGATGATGATAATTCAAATATTCCTGTATTTATATCTTTTATCATTGGAATATATTACCAATTAACAAATGAACTAACAAGATTGACTTCAGTTATTGTCGGTGCAAATAATGAAAAAAGATATTTGATGACGAGTTTTTTTTTTCATTTGATTTTGATAAGTTTTTTGAATGACTTTAAAATCGAATAAATATATTTTTGTTTATTGTTGAAAGACAATAATAATTAGATTTAATTGAAAAAAGAATTCTATATGAGAAACTATTCTTGTCCAATAGTTGTATTAGATTTTATATCTAAAACTAATTATAATATTGAAGAAATATGTCTACAAAAATTGAACATTATATGATGTAAAGAAATATTTTAATGATATGTTAATTATCTTGAGTATAGACTAGAGTTGTATGAGATTGAACTGTCAAGAAAAATCTCTTAATAGATTAATCACTTTTGAGTAGAAACTATGTGCATCATATAGACTCTAATGAGTTATGAATACCTTGAAAAAGAGTTTAAGCCTTTAGCTAATTACTGCGGAGATATTACATTTCACGGTATCTTTTAAGTCAATGCTGTGACTCCACCCTTTAGGAACATATGGAAAACTGATTTTCAAATTTCGACTTGAGATTTTGCAAAGAGATAAGCTTTAATGAGAATAGTTTATTTTGTAAGTGTCAGATCTTTTCGTTGTTCCTATCTTAAAATATATGGCTACGATAAAAGGATGTTTCTTACATTGCTCATGTACACTAACAGATCTGATGTTTTTATTTCAGGATAGGACAAAAATTAAGAGACTTTAAATTTTCACAAATCAGTTTTTCCGAAGAATGAGATCGCGGCATTTACTAACAAAAACCATAACAAATGCAATACCTCTGTAATAGTAAGTTAAGGATATGAACTCTTTTTCGAGTATTCACAACTTATTAGAGTCTACGTGATGCATATAGCTTCTATTCAAAAGTGATTAATCAATTGACAAGATTTCCCATCGTCTGATTGAGATCTTCAACTTTGATAGGCTCAAGGCGAAATGAAGAAAAATTGCCCAAACCATCTTATAAATCATATAAATTAAAATAATGTTTAAGAGAAATGACTAAAACACATAGCATTCGTTGATTCAATAAATTGTTAAAATTTCAAAGATTTGATGTAAATAAATCTTTAAAAGCTTTCCTCTAAGCAAAGACAAAAATCGAAGCTGGCAGCTAAAAAATTAAAATCATTAGGACTAGATCAGATTTATCAAGAGCACTAACCCACATATTTCCAAGATAGACTATTCAAGATTTTTCTTACTTGGCAAATATTAAAAAAAAAGTATGATCATTTTGTTTGAAGTAAACGATATTTATACAAAATCAAAATTTGCAATCGATCACCGAATTTCTTTCTAGTCATTTACTGTTTACACAATCAAGAAGAGAAGCTTTTGATTTTTAAAGTAATATTAAAACATTGAATGAAGTTGCCAATCATAGATAATTTCAAAAAGTAATACAAGCAATATTAGCATAGCAGAAGAATATGAAGCAATTCCGATGCTTTTATTATAGAATCTACTTGTTCATGTTACTTTGATATCATATCAATATGATGAAGATAAACTCTAACTATTTCTCATACCATTTATCTATAATACTTTTATGTAATTCATAGAAAAATTCATTTTTGTATCATACAAATTATGTATCCTTCATTCACTAAAACTAATACTAAATAAAGCTTTTGTCGAACTTAATTAGAACAAAGGTGAATAAGTAGAAATTAAATTCAACAAAATAAAATTAGGTATGAAATATTTGTTCACTCGCAAAACAAAAAAGACAATTTCAATGGGTATAATTTATGTTAAGGGGGCATACGAAGGGCTCCATCTAATCGAATAACTTCACCATTAAGATATGGATTTTCAACAATCATGTGTGCTAAACGAGCAAAATCATCTGGTTGTCCAAGTCTTTTTGGAAATGGTACCATATTACCAAGTAATAATCGAACTCTTACAGGTAAAGCAGCAAGCATTGGTGTATAAAAAACACCAGGAGCAATAGCACATACTCTTATACCCATATTTGATAGATCTCTTGCTAATGGTAATGTCATTGAAACAAGAGCACCTTTCGATGCTGCATACGCAACTTGTCCTATTTGACCTTCATAAGCAGCAATCGATGCTGTATTTATAATAACACCACGTTGTCCTTGAGAATTTGGTTTATTATCGGCCATAAGATGACATGCCCAACGTATGGCATTAAATGTACCAGATACATTTACATTAAGTAGTTTTTTAAATTCATCGAAACTATGCATTGAACGCTAAATATAAAAACATATTAAATAGAAATAGTTTTTTTTGTTTTTGTTATGCTCACTTTATTTATATTATATGTTCGAATAGCTACACCAATACCAACACAATTAAGTAGAACATCAAGTCTTTCATATTGTTGTTTGATTTGATTAAACATAGCTTGTATTTGTTCTTCATTGGTTACATCAGCAGAAAGAAATGTCGGTGGTTCTAATTGAATATTTTGATCTGTTGATAGATTATTTGATAATGGAATTTTCACATTATTTTTGTCATCCTTACGTTCATTTAATAGTGACTACAAAAATATTCAAGACAATAAAATTAATTTAAATTTGTTTTATTAAGAATATACAGTCAATGGATCGTCGGATTCATCTAATTCTGAATTTAACGGCGATGAAACTATTGATGACCATTGTTTCACTATATCACTACCTTTAGATGATGGTAAATCACAAATGATTACACGAGCACCAAGTCGAGAAAAATGTTTAGCACAAGCTAGACCTAAACCAGTTGCACCACCAGTTATTAATGTTACTAGACCACTCATTATATTGACTGATTTAATTAATCTTTATATCTGAAATATAAAAGATTAATAATATATTTTTTTTTCTATTTTCGAAATTTATGATAAATAATGTTTCTAAGGTTTCGGTAGGTGTTTTTTTCTTTTTTTTTTGTTATTTTCACTTTTTTTTCCTTTTCAACGATGAATGAATATCATCGTCTTGGAATAAAAAATTTTAAAAGTATACGTCATCTTGGACAAATTAAACTTGCATTTGATCTATGTACTGATGATATATCAGCACCACAATATGTATCATTTAAAGGAAATGATTCTAATAAAAAAATACAAATTTCTAATAATGATAAACTTAAATTTGATTATATTCCAATAAAAAAATCAACTAATAATTGGTTACAAAATTGTCAATGTTCTAAAATATTGATGAATTTTATTATGAATATTTTCTATCTGTTTTTTCGTATATTATGCATTATCTTGAAATATACAATTTATTTAATATGGTATCTATTTAAAATTTTACTCTATATAATCTTTCGTTTATTAACCGAATCAAAATTATATTGTTCAAAATCTGTCCTATGCCATCCAATTCGATGTTACCATCATCGATTCTAAATAATCTGTAGTAACCCTCATTATCTACTCGATTCTGTATTTATCAAATAGATGGTGGTATGAATATGATTATATGAATATTAATACAAAAATGTAATCATTTTATTTTTGTTGATTATAAATATAAAAAGATAGTTCATTTCTGAAACTGTATTAAGAAAATATTCAATAGATGTCGTTGTTAATCAGAGTGAAATATACTCATTAGAATAAAGTGTTCGATATTTATGTTTATAGATTTATCAAAAAAAATAAATCTCATTGATACAAAATATCTCTAGGGCGAATTCAAAAACTAAAAATTAGTCCTTGATTTCTATTGCTACATTATGCATAAGTTTTATTTGCATTGCAGTCTGTTTTAATACATTTAATATTTTAACATTTTCATGTACAAAACTATATACATGATATTTTAAACCAACTTCATAAGCAAATTATTTAGCAATAACTAACTAGTAGATCTTAATTGATGTCTTAGCATACGTGGAAATAAATGATGAACATTCAACAGAAATGGTTCACGTGGTCCAGAATCATGTGTTGATATACCAAAATGTGATAATGTTATTTGAACATGTAAATATATACTTAAAACATTGTGTGTATTTTGGAATATAAGATAATAAAACTATATACCAGTACCAAAAAATAAAAATAAAACATATTTCAATAAAAACAGTATGATGAATAAAGCCATGTATAAGAAAGAATACGTTTATGATAAGTTGAATAAAGTAATTGAACAAAATGTGGTGCTACGGTAACGAATGATAAATGTTGAATATCTGAAAAAGAAACAGATGTTAGTGCAATTTCAGTGGTATTAAAATATGAAACATGATGTTTCTAATCATAGAAAGATTATTTTAAGGTGTGGTGGTTCTAGTTTCTATCTCGAAGGAATCAGGAAATAGGATTAGAAGTGAAACCGTTTCGTTTATGTGTAATGATAATAATAAATAACGCCAATTCTTGAGTTCATCACGCGCGTAATTTTCAAAACATATTAATCGTTTACAAATAAAAATAATCGGTATTCATAGAAACGTTCGTCTACATCTCGTCTCTCTCTCTTGAATGGTCGCTATTACTTTTTTCGTGTGGCTAATAAGAATGTTCATTAGAATAAATTTACGTTTGAACATAAAAAGATATTTTTAAAAAGTTTATTTTTGACTTTTCCAATTGATATCAGATCAAATAATTTAGGTTACGTGTCAAAGTTTTGCCCATTTCGAAAACGAATGGACTGTTTCTGCCATTTCCAATGAAAAAAACATTGATTTAGTTTTTCACTCTTACAAAAGACAAGAATAAAGTCTATAATATGGTTTTTATTTAGTCCATCCAGAATTCTGCTTTTCTCTACGATAAAATTTAATAAAAATCTAATCTGTGACTATGCATGTATTCCGTCACAAAAAAAACGGTATTAATAATGTTTATCAGCGTGTTATTTTCTTATTATGTAATGTTTGGTTATGATTTTTCTTTTTTCAGCAGTGAACCATAGGATCGACTAAGCGACACGTTTCACCCTTCTCTACTGGGCTTTCATGAACAGTGAACATTTTCGGTTGAACACGACACTGAAATACCATTCGATATTTTTCTGTCTTGTCATTAGATATTTTAATAGGAAATACTTTTGTAAATCAGGGATGAGCTCAACCATTGCAATGAATGGCCTAATAGAATATTGGTGCATTCATCATGGCTCAACCCGATTGAATTGAATCATTATTCTTCATGGCATCTGTTTTGGCTTTAGCAGGCAATAATCCTTTCTTAATGATACCATCAATGGCTTTTCGATGTGTTCCATGAAATGCGACTGGCTCTTTAGTTTCACTGTCAATACAACCGAGTCAGGTTGCGTCATCTACATACTTTTGATCAAGTTTTAGTGCTTGGCGATGCCAACCAATCAGAAAATAGTATGACTATCCCCTCGCCTTTCAGATTCAGGTAGTTCTGGTTTCTCGTAATCTCTATTGAATTGTAAAGCAGAATCGCTTAGTTGTAGTTAAAGGTAAGATAAAATCAAAGTCCATTCATAAACATGCGAAGCAAGTTTGACGTATCGAAGTACTGACCCTTGTGGGAAGCCTTTTCTAGCCTTATCCTCAGAAAAAAACGATAATTCATAGAGTTTTGCATCAAACTCTGAAATAAGTATACAAAGCGTTTGGCTTTTGCGGAAGCCACCCTAAATAACCATCAAATAGAACTCTATTTATGAACTGGCTGTAATAGTTTAGCGAGCTATCGAATTTCCTTGATAATCGAGTGCAAATGTGAGGGTGTGGGTGTGGCTTGGTGTAGACGTGGGTGTAGAATGCATTGCTTCTCTTTAGCCACACCCACAACTTTACCTCAGCGCTCACGTGCGCATCAATTTCTTCAAATACCGGCATCCGCGCCTCCCACCATACTCCTATCCAAGCACCCACTCCACACTTATGTGCAAGCTTCGTGAACGTAGTGTCGCGCACTGAAATGTTTGGGTAGGTGTGGGTGTGAGTGTCGATGGGTGTGGACATGAGAGTGTGGGTATGGATAGAGAGAACAAACGCAGTCACATCCACACCCTATTAGGTTTTCTTCTATAGGGCGACGAAGTTTCATCGTTTTTTGTCAGGTACAATTATATTGTCAGTTTCGCCATATTAAGAGACGGTTGGTGACTGAATCGAGCATTTTTATTATAGGCTGTTACATAAAAAATTTTAACATAGTTTTTTGATCATTGAGAGTGAAAGAGCATGTAGAAAAAACTCTATGAATCCAAATTTATAGCCTTCTCTGAGTGATCGTTCAATAGTTAACAAGAAAACATTTAGTGTGTATCAGTGGATCTCCATTCCATTTTTCACCTCTTGCTGTTTTCAGTATATAATTTTTTTTTTTGATATATCAAACAAATTAAATCGCAACGAGCAGCAGGTTTCGTACTTGAATGTGTCGTGCGTTGTGTCACAAATCACGACGCCTGCAACACATCTAAAGTGCATCCTAAAACTATTTCGTTTCTTTTCAAAAGCGTTATTGTGCGGCAGGCGAATTTCTTTCTCTTTCTCAATCTATTCAGCTGCCTGGCACCACCAAGAGTTGTTTTTTCCTTTCACTTGTAACATTTTTTCAACGTTAGCCAGTTTTGTCTTTACATTGATTTTCGATGGCTGTTTTATTCGATCCGATCAGCCTTTCTTCACAGACGGTAATCTATTTTATGCATTAGGGGTGTTAGTTTACATTTACTTTTAATTTTATTTACCAGTAAATTAAAATATGAGGAATTTATATTTATTATAAATGTAAACTATTTAGTTGCAGGATTTACATATACAGATAAATGTAAATCCTGCTACAAAATAATTTGCAATTTATAATAAATGTAAATTACTTATAATTTATAATTTATTTTACATATAAACTTTTTACTTTTCATTATTTATCGAAAACAAATTAAAATAAACTATGATATTTTTGTACGATATTTTACATAAGAAATACCCTAATCTTAGTATTATTTTTATCTATAATTTGTTTGCTGGACTATCTTTTCATTCAATTAATGGTTCTTAATTTGAGAAAAAGATCTCACTACTTACCATGATGAGTTTTTCAAAGAAGAGTTAAATCAAACTTTACAGACTAGGAAAATAGAAAATGCTGTAAATTGTCAATGAGAAGCTTCAAATATTTTTCGCGAATTACACATCTATTAGAGATTACATATTATTTTTATCGAATGCAGTTAGAACTTGTAGATACAATAGTAGGTTTTTTTCTACATGGCAATGTTTTATTACCCTAATTATGTTACGAATTAATACTCAATTTCGAACATTTCTGATATGCAATAAATATTCATTAGGTTTTTCCAAATAGGTTTTTTGTTATGCATAAGGAATATTTTAAGACATACCATGTTTGTTCCTCTGTTGTTTATTAACCACTTTTGATACAGTTTTGGCAGACATGCATGATACTGATAGGAAAAAAAATCTATAGACACAGAAACTCTTAAAACATAATGTAAAAGTGTTTTAGTATTTTATTTGTGTCTCATTGAAGTTATTATTTTACTTCGACTGATATGGAAAGTATTTCACTTCTTATTTCTATCTAGTAATTACTTCCATAATTGGATATTAAAACGAAGACTTCTGACGTTTATCGCACACCACACTGTTTTAGTCTTAAAAGAAGACTAATTAAATCCATATTTTATAGATTTTTATTTTAATGTGGCTCGATAGAATAAAATTTAAAATTTGTGCTTGTCACTATGACTTTCTCAACAATAGACTTAAGATGGTGTCTGATTAGAAAAGTATCTGTTAAACTGTATTGATCATATAGACTATGAAATCTTTTTCTCTTTCTTCAAATCTGTAGTCATTACAGTTGCCAATATGCCCAGAACGATCAGACTTATGGTAGAGAGCACTATTTATGACTCTACAACAGCAAGAAGAATTGAACATTTTACAATAACAATGAAAAATGAATTCTGTAAAGTTTCACGGAAAAAATTTTTTGAAAGAAATTTTGGAACCCATCCAATAGTAGTCCTTTTATAGACCTAGTACTATAAAATCAAGAATATTTTTTTGGCAAAATGAGGTCGTATGTTTCAAATTTTACTTTTGATTACATTCACCGACAGAAATACTTTCAAATTCGTGATCTCAGTCAAATAGTGCGTCCACGGATATATAAATCAAGATATTTCAATTCAAAAACAGCTTTTCGTCTGCAATATGCTCTATGACTTTGTTGAAATTTTGTTGTCATCAAAAATATATAAATGATATGTCTATACATTTGCTTTTTGATGCAAATCATCAGTCTGCCATAGTTTTTTTTCAAAATATCAACACCAAGAATGAAAATCGTGAAGTACGGGTTCCTTTTGACATGTAAATCAAGTAATATCAATAATTTCATAGGCAATAATTGCTCCAAATACATTTAAAAACCGAAATTTT